AAATCTTCCTTGTAATGTGTTTCAAGAGTCAAATTAGAACAGACACTGCTCTCCTAATTAATCTCTGCTGAGTTTAGCATATCTACATCTAAATTTTTCAAAGATGATAGATTCTCTTTTCAAATATGAAAGCTTTATTGGATTTCTACACAATCCAAACAAAGAAAGCCGGTGTTATCAAAGATAAAATAAGGCAACAAGGTCATAATTCTGATTGCAACAAGAGTTCCATAAATGAAACATTTCTTCTAAGACTTTAATGCAAATGAAGCAAAGAAGACACAAAGATTGCTATTCCAAAAAAGATAATGCCAACCTGAAATACATTTTGACTAAGTGAAGGAAGACCGAGTTTGCTACTTTGAAAATTGCATCAACATTTTTGCATTCATAAGAACATCATTTGCATAATAGAAAATGCATTAATTGATACATTTGATTGCATTCAAACATGAAGTTTTAAAGGTTTTCATATGAAAAAAAAAGATTCATGAAGGAAAATACCTTACAAGTGGAAGGTAGAATTCAAACCTCAAATACATGAATCACACAAACAAATGAAGAACAGATGGATACAATCCACAAATGAAGCATTATTTTGAAGTTGGCTCATTAACAAGTTATTTCGAAAAACGAGAAAACGATTTCCAAAGTTTCTCATTTAATCTTTTATGAAAATGAAATTGTTGAATAGTAAGAAAAAGATTTCCAAAGTTTCTTACTTAGTAAACTATTTCCCAAATTTGTAAGTCCTTCGGGCTATCCATAAGACCTTCAGTGCAGGATATTTTCAAATGAGATTTTAGAAACTAAGTATTCAGGGGTTTCCTAATTATCTCAAAAGAGTTTTTAAAGGAAGTTAAGCTTAACAAAGGGATTCGTTAACAACTAAGAAACTAAGCCTTCGGGGGTTTCTTGATTTATAAGTCCTTCGGCCCATCCATAAGACCTTCAGTGCAGGATATTTTCAAATGAGATTTTAGAAACTAAGCCTTCGGAGGGTTCCTAATTATCTCAAAAGAGTTGTTAAAGGAAGCTAAGCCTAACAAAGGGGTTCCTTAACAACTAAGAAACTAAGCCTTTGGGGTTTCTTGATTTATAAGTCCTTCGAGCCATCTATAAGACATTCAGTGCAGGATGTTTTCAAATGAATTTTAAAAACTAAGCCTTCGGGGTTTCCTAATTATCTCAAAAGAGTTGTTAAAGAAAGCTAAGCCTAACAAAGGGATTCCTTAACAACTAAGAAACTAAGCCTTCGGGGGTTTACTAATTATCTCAAAAGAATTGTTAAAGGAAGCTAAGCCTAACAAAGGGGTTCCTTGACAACTAAGAAACTACACCTTCAGGGTTTCTTGATTTTTAAGTCCTTCGGGCCATCCATAAGACCTTTAGTGCATGATGTTTTCAAATGAGATTTTAAAAACTAAGCATTCGAGGGTTTCTTTATTTTTAAGTCCTTCGGGTCATCTATAAGACCTTCAGTGCAGGATGTTTTCAAATGAGATTTTAGAAACTAAGCATTGGGGGTTTTCTAATTATCTCAAAAGTGTTGTTAAAGGAAGCTAATCCTAACAAAAGGGTTCCTTAACAACTAAGAACTAAGACTTCGGGGTTTCTTGATTTATAAGTCGTTCAGGCCATCCATAAGACCTTCAGAGCAGAATGTTTTCAAATGAGATTTTAGAAACTAAGCCTTCGGGGGTTTACTAATTATCTCAAAAGAGTTGTTAAAGAAAGCTAAGCCTAACAAATGGTTCCTTGACAACTAAGAAACTAAGCCTTCAGGGGTTTCTTGATTTTTAAATCCTTCGGGTCATCTATAAGTTTTTCAAGGATGATGTTTAAGTCCTTCAGGCCATCCATAAGACCTTCAGTACAAGATGTTTTCAAATGAGATTTTAGAAACTAAGCCTTCGAGGGTTTCTTAAATATCTCAAAAGGGTTGTTAAAGGAAGATAAGCCTTACAAAGGGGTTCCTTGACAACAAAGAAACTAAGCCTTCGGGAGTTTCTTGATTTGTAAGTCCTTTGGGCCATCCATAAGACTTCAGTGCAGGATGTTTTCAAATGAGATTTTAGAAACTAAGCCTTCGGGGGTTTCCTAATTATCTCAAAAGAGTTGTTAAAGGAAGCTAAGCCTTTTAAGGGGTTCCTTGACAACCAAGAAAGTAAGCTTGATTTTCATGAGTTTCTTGATGTTTAAATCCTCCGGGTTATCTGTAAGGCTTCCGAACAAGATGATAATACCTTCGGGCCATTCATAATACCTTTGGGCAGAATGTTTCCAAGATTTCCGTTACTTGATTCACGACATTTTGAATCAGCGATGTCTCTCAAATCAAATTTTATCTCACCTGAGATGGTTCATCTTCGAACAAATTTCTTTACATTCATTTCACATTTTTATCCATATTTTGAATATTTGATAGGAATTCCAGAGATTAGCAAAGTTTTCGGCAAAGAATTATCATACTTTTCAAGCTTTGAAAATATAGATTTCAGCAAAGATTCAAATCCATCACTTGAGGGTTCAATAATTCTGTCTTAATCAAGACAAAAACTTATTGTATTTTCATCTTTGCTCTATTCTTGTTAACACAAGAATGAGCAAAGAGGGGCAGCTGTAGACACTAAGTTTTTGCCCCTTTTTTTATTATTATTATTATTATTATTAAACTAATATTATTACAGGCTCAATTTACAACAGTTGACCCAGAGGGTCCAGATATAAATCCTGGAGGCTCAAACCCGAACAGAGGCCCAGATAGTAAATCCAGACCCGACCAAACAAGACCCAATCCAGATGTAACTAGGGTTTCCTAAACCCTATCTCCAACAGCCATTAATATCAACCGTTGGATCTGGAGAGATCCAACGACCCAAAATGAATCTAGCAGAAACCCTAGGGTTGGTGAACCCTAGGGTGATTTTCGGTGCCGCCTTACATCCAACTGATCTGTCGCCTCTACTCCGACTGCTCCGCCGCCATGTTCCCCAACTATCTGGTGCAAAGACACCAAAGCTTCCAGAAGATCTACACTGGCCGCACACGTCGCATCCCTTCGGTGACTCACCGAAGGGTACCCTTATAATCTGCCCAATGAGAGCATCATCGTGGTGGCCTATAAAAGGCCACCAATCCTCCAATAAGAAAAAAACGAACAGAAAAGAGAGCAAGGAGGACCCACAGCAAGAAACAAACAATAATAGCAACAAAAAAAATAACCCACAACAGCAAATCGAAGAAAAAGAGAAGGAGAGAAAAACTTACCCTCAGAAAGCCCAAACGTCGTCGGAAACTTTGTGTAAACCGAGATAAAATCTTCAGAATTTTTTAGATCTATTGATTTTGAGGGGATTTTAGGAAAAAATAGATGCTAGAATCGGCTTTAGGTTGGAGAGATCTACAATTTAAGGTGACTTTGTAATTTTCGGCGCCATGGGTGGTGACCGGCAGTTGTCATCGACGCCGAAGTACGCTGTCGGCAATGACTGGTTTCCCTCCGATGAGGGAAACCTAGAAAGAATGCAGAGCTTCTCTCTCTAAGAGAGAAGCTGAAAATGAAAAATGAAGAGAGATAGGCCATTAAGCCCGATTTTCGGGTTTATATACCCATCCCCGAATGGTGTCGTTTTGGGAGAGGTCTGTGCGTAATTTCGCACATTGTAAAATAACATCTACAGTCCCTCGACGTTTTGTAATCTTTTAGTTTAGTCACTAAAATCATATTTTACGCATTTTAATTTGGATTTTAGATTTTATTTTGTTATGTTTTAGTCATTTAATTTAACGTAACTCAAATTCTCAATAAACTAATCTAATTCAAATTCTGAATTCGTTGTTTTGGTTTTTAGTATCATTGTTGTCGGTAGCGGGTCAACATTAAGTTTAGGATGAGCATTTGGTGGTTTATTAAGGACTATAGTTTCCTTTACCTAATGTAAAATAATATAATAAAAAAGATTTGAGCAAGTAGTCTTTTTCCTTCATCAATGACACCAATCATCGTTTCTTTCTTTTAAATGGTTGAAATTTGAGCTTTTGTTATTATTATAAGTTTGACAATATTTTATTAATATTTTTTATAATATCTAAGAAATTATTTAAGTAGAAGGAGGGTTGAAATTTGATTCTGATTCTTATTTCCTTTGTTGTCACTTATCCCTAATAATTTAAATAATTTTTATTTTCAACCATAAATTTTATTTTTTTTAATTATATATTTTTATTATTTTTTGTCACTATTTTTACTATTACTCTTTATGTTTTAATATTTTAAATCAAGCTCTTTAATTATTATTATTTTTTATTATTTTTATTTTAAGTCATAAAAATATATATTTAATTAAAGGAAAATATTTATTTATTTTTGAATATTAAAGAAAATTGTCTTAAAGTAACTAGATATCATATTCTACTATTTTCAAATAAATAAATATCTTGTTTATAAAAACTTAAAAAATATATTTATTTTAGTTTTGGTTATATCAAATTATTTTAATATTAAATTCTTAGAATTTTCTATTAAATAAAATTATGTGATTAAATCTGGAATAATAGAATCTGGAATAATAGAATCATAAATAAATTTATATTTGATTTCATAAATTTTCACTAATAGAGACAATTTATAATCGATGGGTACCAATTTTTGGCATTGTGGAGTGTTAATCCTTCCCTAAATGTAACCGACCTCGAATCTATTTTTATTACTAAAAGGAATGAATTTTTTGTTACAAGCAGATCGATTTATCTTTAAATTGATGTTTTATTCAAAACTCTTTTAAAAGATGATTTTTAGGTATTCGACCTACCTAACTCAAAAAGGTCGATGGTGACTCCAAAACATTTTAATAAAAACTATTTATTCAATTACATACTTTTCCGTCAAAAAAATTCATACCCGAACGAAAACCGATTACGACATATCCCTTGAAGGCTGATAACCGAACATCCTGTTTGTAGTTATCTCATAATTAACTAAACTGGGCACAAATTAAGTACTGTAACTAGAAAAGGAGACAAAGAAAGTACCTTGAAGCGAACCTCCTCAACTTTTAAATGAACAAATTAATCGCTTAACAGAGGCCAGAGGGCAACCAGACACTGAAAACTCCGTCGAAGGTTTTGAAAACTGCAGTTGTTGAAGCACGGTTGCCTTTTCTATCCTTCCTTCTATACGTCTGACCAGTTGTTTTAAAGGAAGGCAATCATGCACACACAGATTTTCGAGTTGCAGAATCCCTTGTGGTGCCATCAACATTGGAAAAATATACTCCAAATCATCGCATTCTTTTATGTGGGCTTGTCGTAATTTTGGGAAGCACAAAGAATTAGAACTGATGCTCGATGATATTTCTTCCCCACCGTCTCCCGATTCTGTGACTATTTGCTTCAATTCACCACAATATCTTATCTCAAATTTTTCTAAGAGTGCAAAACTTTGAGCTAGAGAAGTCGAGAAGATTGACTTTAGACTTGGGAAGTCCCAGATCTTTAATTCCTCTAAAGCTTCAAGTCTATCATGTTGGATTGGCAGTTCCCAAATGTGACTCAACTTAGGCAACTTTCGAAGATTTAAGAGCTTTAAAATTCGAGAGCAGACATTTTCTTCTACATTCTGAAATACCACTTTCAGGTTCCCACAGTCTTCAATGCTCACTTCCTCTAGATTTTGTAAGATCTTAGGAACCAACACCTTCTGTCTTTTATCACTCAAGCACTCATCCTTGAGTTTTGAGGTGGACCCAGGACAAAAATTCAGGATTGCACAAAAAAATTCTTATAAATTTTTTTAGGGGTTGCACAATATTAAAGGTGACACTTGTATTAATTAAAAAAAATTAGAAAAATTAACACTAAGTAAACAATTTTGTTGTATAATTTTTTTTTTCTATAAGAATTTAACTGAAATATAGGGATTCTACCTAAAAATCACAAAATATATATATAAAAATACTAAAATAATAACATTTGATCAATGTTCCTCACAATTTGAGGATTACCCGTGCTACCTCTGGCAACCCCTGGGTCCGCCCCCGTTGACACTACCAGAAACTCTATGTTCTCAAGCAATTGAGAAACTAGATTTAGGTCAAACATCTCCGCAATTAAGGATCTGTCTACTTGTAGACGTCTTTTTGTCCCATTACAAATATTAGATCCTGTTATAAGTACTTCGTGTCTTTTTAATTTAGGGAACCGAAAGCCTTATGGAAAACATAAAGAAGATACCGCTAGGGATAGTGTCGTCAAGCTGGTCAAAAAATTTATCTCCTGAAGGATAGCAGTGCTTTCCTCTTCCATGCTGAAGTTCAGCTCTTCTAGATTGGACAATCTTCTAGTCACTGTACGTGGAAATCCACCGGAAAATATACTATCGGCTAGATCCAATATCTTCAGATTTCCAACACTCTTAATTCATCTGTCAATCCCTTGGATACTGGACCACGCGAACAGAAAATCTCAAGCGTCTTTAGATATAACTGCAATGCCCAAGCATTTCGCACCAAGTCTTCCACATCAATGGAGTGGTCCTCTGGATATAAAGCACACCATAAGAAGCATCTCTTGGTAGTCTCCTTTATCAGGTAATCGTAACTCATCTTAAAACACACATAGGCATTTTTTTAATCCTCTCTAATGCACCCGATTTCAATTAATCTACTCCTTTCATGTTTTTTTGGTGCCATTTTCCATCCTTTACGAATCTTAGTACCTTTTAAAGGCCTCGCTACCGTTACAATCGATAAGGGTACCCTTGCATTCTTCTCCAACTTTCTTTGTTTCCTCCACAATATCCCTTGGAACTCTTCCATCAAGCTCAGCTTTCCTTGTGAATACAGCCCATGCTTCATCACCATCCAAAACATCAATCGAAACAGTAGGTTGACATTTCATATCTTTGCATACAGTCATGCTACGTGTTGTCAAAATGATTTTACAACCTTTACTTTTGGCGGTAACACTGAAATATCACCCTGTAGAACTTTAATTATCTGTCAGGTATTCTTTCATCTTTATTTATTAATATAATATTTTTTTAGGAATACGCGCACATGCACCGTGCCTTATACTGATTTGGCGTCACGTAGGATAAGGCACGACCATGCACGGAGTCCCACCGCGCCTTGTGAAACGTGTAAAATCACAGGTGATAGTTTTGTAAATATTTTTAAAATAGTGTCTAATATATAATTAATTTATATTAGGATGATATTTGTGTAAAATTGTCTATTTTATTTATTTTTTTTTTGTGTGTGAAAAAAACTTTCTATATTAAAATCTTTAAATATTCTTTTGTAAATTATTTTATAACTCGACAAATTTTTATTTTTATATGAAATTACACAATACGTATAATCTAGTATAAGAAAACTTTGAGGGCAAGTATTTAAAAATATGAATAATTTTATAAAAGTTTTATAACTAGTGTTTCTTTTACAAAATGATGATGATGATGATAAATATTTTATAATTTAAAAATTATAAATTTCATAAATTTTTGAAAAATTTATTGACTTTTAAAATTAATTGTTTAAAAAATATAAAAAATATTAAAATAAATTTTTAATTACAATTGAGGAATCAAATGAATTATTATTCATTAATTATTATTTTTAACAACAGTTAATAATTTTTATTCATTTTTAATAAGATTATTTTTATTTGAGAAAATCGCCTCAGTAACCAAAAATGCCTTATAATATACGATTTTAACCAACTTTTTCCGGATTTGCCAAAATGACCAACAAAATCGCAATGCGATCGCTAATTCGCAACGCGATCTCCATTATCGCAAATTCGCGTTGCATTTCGCATTGCGATAGTTGGAAATCGCGTTGCGATGGTCTACAGTGTCGTTGCGATTTTCCCAATTCGCAATGCGAATAAGTAAATCGCAACGCGAATTGGAAAAATCGCAATGCGATACTGACTATCGCAATGTGATACTTACTATCGCAATGTGATACTTACTATCACAATGCGATAATACAAAATCGCAACGAGATACTGACTTTCGCAACGCGATTCTGACTTTCGTAACGCGATTTACATAGCGCCATTCGTATTAACGCGTATTTTTTTTTTTTCAAATTCCAAACACGAATTTTTTCTTAATAAATCGGAAACTGAACCGTCCACAGTAATCGCAACTCATAACCTCAAACCCAAAATCACAACACTCAGTCTCATCTCCATCTCTCACTCTCTACGGTGAAATCCGTCCCCATCTCCGAAGATTTCCGTCCCCATCGCCGGCGAAATCCCTCACAACCATTCACAGTCAAAAATCCCTCACAATCATTCAGAAATGGAAAATCAACCTCCGAGGGTTAGTTTTTTTTTATTTTTATTTTGAAATTTTTGCATTATTTTAGGTTTTTCATATTGAGATTGATGATAAGTTTACTGGTAATTTCAATAATAGATTAACCATTTCACTTAGATTTCTTATTAAATTCATTCGATTGCTGCCAATACTGCTAAACTGTTTAGCCTGTGAAGTTAGTATTTGTCTTTGTTTTGTCTTTTGGTTGAAGTAATGCAGAAGAAGAATAGTTTCGAGAATGAAAATCGCAACGCGGAAATAACTATCGCAACGCGAAATAAAAAACGCAACGCGAAACAAAAATCCCATTGCGATTTTCATTTCGCGTTGCGATTTTCATTTCGCGTTGCGATTCTCTCGTCGCGATAGTCATTTCACGTTGCGATTCTCTCGTTGCGATAGTCATTTCCGCGTTGCGATTCTCATTATCTCGTTGCGATTTTCATTTCAACCAAAAGACAAAACAGTGTTGCAAATTTTAGTTTCAAGAATAAACTACTATTTATGTTTATTGTTTTTGGTATATCTTGACAGTGTAGTTTTTGGTATATCTAACTTGGTATGTTTATTGTTTTTTTGTAGAAATTTTTTTCGGCTTCATTGACATTAAGGAATAAAGTTAGCCTAGCCACTACAATTGCTTCGAAGCTTTCACCTGCACAAAGAAAATTGTTTGAAGAAACCTGCTTCGGGCCATGGCTGAGAGTACAGCATTCGGGTGGAGATGCTAGTTTGACCCATTTGTGGCTTCAGACCATGACTATCGATCTACCCGACAGTATACAACGTGGTGAGGAAGAGATATGGTTTCATTTTCCACCAGCGTATACTTGTTTTGGGCGGAAGGAGTTCTGCTTAATCACTGGTCTACGATTCGGACACGATGATGTAGGCCGGTACACTCGTCATATCACCCGCCCATCATGGTTATCCAGGGTTTTTTCTGATGAGTCAATAGAGAAGCCGAACTTACACGTCGACGACATGAAGAAATTGTTTAATAAGAAAGATGGTTTTACTCGGATGAATGACGTCGATGTTGTCCGAGTATGCCTTCTACTACTTTTGTATGCCGGCTTTTTAGGCAGAGAGGTCAGACAACCTATTCCTCAGGAGCTAATATTATTGGTAGAGGACCTAAATGCATGGAATCTGTTTCCGTGGGGTTCGTATATATGGAAAGGTACCTGGACTAAGTTGTCGTCTGCCTTTGATGACCGCAAAAGTTTGCGGGGCGATGGGTCGAAATACACTTTGTCAGGCTTTGTTTGGGCCTTTAAGGTAAGAATTTCTATATAATGTTTTCAAAATTATAATTAATTATTTAACAATTACTAATGTTTGTTATTATATTGTTTGTAGATTTGGATATTCGAGGCCTTTCCCGCCATGAAGACATATGCAATAAAAACTTCAAATGATATTCCCAGGGCTATTTCCTGGAAGAGGAAACGTCTGTTGGATTGGGAAGACTTAATACCATATGCGACAATAAATAATGTAAGTTAACACAAATACTATCATATATAAACAAGTTATTAATAGTAGACGTTTAACTTTGTTTGAGGTTTTATATTTTTAGGAGGCCAACATTCCATTAATGAGACTGACACCCACGGAGGCTGAGCTTGCCACTGATTGGTGGCAAGCTAGTCAGCGTTTTCTTGATGGCACGAATGATGAGCAGCCTCCACTTTCTCCACTTCGAGAGCCATCACCTCACCCAGAGCCATCACCTGATCGACCCGACTATACACCTCTACAACGAGAGCCATCACCTATACCGTCACATCATCGAGCCTCTTCTCCACCATCACCTCATGATAGGCGACCGGCAAAGATTCCACGACTTCTATCTCCCTATTCTCCACCTCCACGGGATGAGTCAAGGGAGTTACGTGATGAGGTCAATGCCTTGCGTGAGGAGATCGGTACTCTACTCGATAACGATGGTGCATGGCGTGTGGAGGTGTCTACTTTACGTGGTGAGGTTGCCGCTCTACGTGAGATGGTAGTATCGTTGCAGAATGAGGTTCATACTCTACGCAACGAGGTAAGTTTAAGATTTTCCATATTTAACTTGATGATAAATTTACTCGTAATTTCACTTAAATTAACCATTTCACTTAGATTGCTTAGTAAATTTATTCGGTTGCTGCCAAAACTGCTAAACTTTTTACTCTAACACTGTGAAGTTAGTATTTGTGCTTGTTTTGTCTTTTGGTTGAAAGTTTGAAATATATTTATCTTTGTTTTCACTGTTTAAATATCATGTCTGTTTATTTACTGATATTTGTATTTAATTATTTAGCGGACCGATAAGGTGGATGCTTTACGTCGGGTTTTTCTTGCACGACAGAGTTCACGCATCAGACGGCGTGCACGTGCTATTAAGTCTCCGTATACCCCAATAGTGCAAAGACACCGCAAGAAGAAGCCCGACTCGCCTGTCATCCCTCAAGAGTCCACTCCTATCGTTGAAGAGGCCCCTATCATTCCTCGAGAGTCCCCTCCCACCGTTCAAGAGGCCACTGTCATCGTTGCAGAGGTCCCTCCCACCATTCAAGAGCCCGATTCACATGGCGTCATATGTAGGATTCTTGAGAAACCCTCTGACGTGCCGGACATGATGGATTCAAGTTGGCTCTCGTATGAGTTACCGGCCAGTACCATACCGGTATCTGAAGAGGAGAGGAAACAACTACCGGACACAATTCTGGATAACACCCTTTGGGCTAAGACCGCAGTTGATTTTTATCTACATGAGCGAAGCCAGGGGTGTTTCACTGACATATGCAAGCTCAATGATGATATCTATTTGTTGCTTGATCGGTCTTGGTGGGGCGTATTATTAGGGGTCGAAGACAATGGCTATTTCGATGGAGGGGTAAGTCTTATATTTTTCTTATATTTTAATTTGATTATTTTTTGTAAATTTATGTAAGTTACTAATATGTCTTTTTTGTAAAACAGCATATCGATGTGTGGGTGTCACGTCTTCTAATAATTAGGAAACTTAAGGAAAATAAAAGAAATACACGATATACAATTATGCCGACGTCTTTTAACGCCGTTCACTTGAAGAATCAACGAGATGAATCATTTGCGTTGGGCAATGGACAAGCTAAACTTTATCCTGCAT